CGATTCCCGACATAGGTACAATGTGTGAAGCCCATTTCTGGTGTCCCTCGCCGTGATATTGCTGGAATATTGCTTAAAGCGGCGTAAAACCATACTCACTCGCTATTCATGTACAACGTTTTTGTTACAATATAATTATGTATGTCCGTTTATATACAGGATTTCTCTTTTACGATTCGTTGTCGGAAGTGACAAGATCAAAGTGGGAGCTTGCGGTAAGTACACTTTTTTAGTTCCCTAAAGTACAAGTAGATATCTTCAAAAAGCACTATGTGTAATGGGGAACAGCGTAAAATAAATTCTCAACAGTGAGCGGGCTGTTTTTCTTTCAAACTCTTACTCTTTCATGTTTTATTTCCTGAATAATGAGAATACTTCTCCTGCCTTTTGATTTCATAGAAGTAAGATCAACAGTTAAACATGTTGTATGCAGTCTAGCATTGTCGTGTTGAAGGATAACTTGATGGAAACAACATGTGGCTGAAGGGTTTCATCACAATAGCGTTGGGTCGTTCAGTTGCCTGGCACTAGGTATATTCTACCTGTGTGAGAGAAATTTGCCTACAATATTTTGCTGCCAAATCCAAATCTGTCGATCTGCCGATGTCGGTGCACCCTAGCTTACCCATATTCTCAGTGCGGCATAAATCGCTTACCCAAATGTCGCTGAACAATGTTCCATCGCTGTTTGGGGCATATACTGCTTGCGGCTCAGTTGAGAATTTGAGAATTGCAAATAACGTAGCCGTATGAAGCGGACCTTGGAAGCCATTGTAACACGGGGACGGCTCGACCTGGGTCAGTCAATTGACGTCCCATGCTTTTCGTATCGATACTAGAGGAATTGATGGTGTCTTGGCACACATTTCAATATCCGGGCTCCAACTGACTGTAACTCTCCTGTTTCCAATCGACCTACGAGGTTGCTCTGTTGAGCTTCAGTGAGACGTGGCACGACGTCACAGGTAAAACAGTTGCTACCAGTCAAACCACCCCACCATGAACGTGCATTGATCCTATTGTAATGTGGTGTTACCATTTCTTACTTTTGCAATATGCATGTGGTCGTTGTTGCGCTTTGAACGCTTAAAACAATGACAATTTAATTATTAAGTATGTATATGAAGACAACAAGGTATGAAATATATCATGTATATTGTTATGGTTCGGGTAATGATGTCGCTCTGCCACTACTTTGGGTCATTTCAATAATATTATGCTCCTTGCATTTGCAATTGGCCAATCAGCCTCAGATTCAGTTAAAAGTGTTGTCATGTCGTCACATTGTCATACCGCAATTACACAATCATACCATCATATTGTCATATCAAAATATTACTCTATTACCATGTTTTTCTTTTGCCATATCATCGTATCGCGTGACCATATCGCTTGTGGCCTTTTTGCTTCGAATTCATCGTGATAACATGTCATGTTATCACCATAACATGTCGTTCTATCCCTATGTCGTGTCATGCTATCAACTTGTCGTGTCATGCTATCAACTTGTCGTGTCGTACTATCGCTCCATCGTCTAATTCTATTGTTTTGTCATTGTGTTTCGTATTATCGCTTTGTCGCGCGATATTGTGTGGATTTCTCGGAGCGATATGGCGAGGACCCCTCTCAGTGACCATCTTCTTATAACATGTTGAACAAAATGCAGGAGTGCAAGAGAACCAACACAACAGGAACACTTCTCGCTTTGAACGCTTAAAACAATGACAATTTAATTATTAAGTATGTATATGAAGACAACAAGGTATGAAATATATCATGTATATTGTTATGGTTCGGGTAATGATGTCGCTCTGCCACTACTTTGGGTCATTTCAATAATATTATGCTCCTTGCATTTGCAATTGGCCAATCAGCCTCAGATTCAGTTAAAAGTGTTGTCATGTCGTCACATTGTCATACCGCAATTACACAATCATACCATCATATTGTCATATCAAAATATTACTCTATTACCATGTTTTTCTTTTGCCATATCATCGTATCGCGTGACCATATCGCTTGTGGCCTTTTTGCTTCGAATTCATCGTGATAACATGTCATGTTATCACCATAACATGTCGTTCTATCCCTATGTCGTGTCATGCTATCAACTTGTCGTGTCGTACTATCGCTCCATCGTCTAATTCTATTGTTTTGTCATTGTGTTTCGTATTATCGCTTTGTCGCGCGATATTGTGTGGATTTCTCGGAGCGATATGGCGAGGACCCCTCTCAGTGACCATCTTCTTATAACATGTTGAACAAAATGCAGGAGTGCAAGAGAACCAACACAACAGGAACACTTCTGTCACACTTCTACGATTCGATTCCTGATCTGGCTTGAACGTTGTTGACTGCGTCGTCAAAACACTCACTCGCAGGGATGAAATAGAACTTCCTTGTAGCCATCTGACACAAACATGGACTTTGAAACATTCTTTCTGATATATTCTCACTAACAAAACAAGGATCCTGTAAAACAAGGATGTAAAATCTTGGTGTACATGTATATGTAGGCCTTATCAGTGACGGGATGTTCTCTCCGTCAGATGCGGAATGATTTTCCCCACCAGACATCTCTGTAGACATTTAGGATCTTCATCCTTTGTTTTGATAGGAACCAGGAACAGACTATGGAGAGGATGATTTACAAGCGCTTCAGTTTGGTGGTTCTTTTGACGGTACTGCAGAGTGGCATGGGAATGTATCTCTGTTGTGCTTTTATTACCCCAGTATCTGCAATAAAAAAACATGTATCATCCATATGATACGGATCCTTTACCAGAGTAAATATCTTTTTGGAATTTATAGATTAACTGTATTAGAACAAAGAATGACATGCCCTTTAAATCAGCTTTTCACTCAGCATCGAATTTCACACAGTAGGGGATGTCAAGTGAGTAAGTGAGTGAGTATGGTTTTACGCCGCTTTTAGCAATATTCAAGCAAATCACGACGGGGGACACCAGAAATGGGGTCCATACATTATACCCAATTCGGGAATCGAACCCGGGTCTTCGGCGTGACGAGCCACCAGGCTACCCGACCGCCTCAGGGGACGTCAAGAAACATACGTTTGAGTTACTGTTATTAAATAAAATGGAGATGACCAGATAATTGTCAGTGTAATATTTATAACACATAACTGAATAATACGTGAATCTGCATAACTCGTGAGGATCACAATGACTTGATTATTTGTGATTAGTATTTAATATACATATCTTGAATCGTAACACGTTTGCTCTCTATCTTGAAACACATTACAAGTTTCTAAAAGCCGGATTTTACACCATTGAAACAAACGCAAATACGAGTACAATAGGAAATGTATGCTGTGACCGGCTTTATGTGGTGTTTTCCGATATGAACTAATTTTGGGCTTCTATTTGATATGGAGCTTCAACTTTGAGACATATGATCACCGTGTATTGTTGTATGCACAAGCACCATTGTCCTGAATGCTCTGATCGGATTTTCTGACATTTCCAAGGCATTTAATAAAAAGCTGATACCCCAGTAAATACTTGATAATAGAGTATTCGAATGCATTCCTTTTTATTGTAATAGGTGCTGAGCTTTCCTGGTCCTTTCTAAGTGTACTAGGGTTTGAAATATTAACGTTTCCTTAGGTGGGGAAACATTTGTAAGTATATAAATTTCAAATGTTTTCAAGCCTTAGAAAGTTATGTATCATTCCGGATATCAAAGGTATGTATTTGAATAGTTTATGCTCATATTATCGGTACTAAAATAAAATGATGATACGTTTCCAATATTTTAAATATTGGGTTAACTTTAATTTCACTTATACTGAAACCTTTGCCATCAAGGTTCATTAACCTTTCTGTGAAGGTTCTGGTTAAATAAAACAATATTATGCAAGCTGAAACGTTCCCATTAGGTCAACAATTTAATCGCTTCCCTTCACCAGGTTGCCAATTCTCTTTGACAATTGAGTGGGAGTGTGGGAGACCAGGGCTTCCGATAAATGACTGAGCCATTGAGCGTTCACTCACATGTTATAATTCACATTGGGTATCGGTAGTTTGTTGCGGTATTCAGTGTATTATTACTCTCGTCCCGTCTATAGAATAATTATTAAATTTTCGCTGTGTGCATTGAAATTCCTGCATTCCGATTAGCTTAATTGTCCACATGTTATTGCATTCCTTTCCCAAAGAATGTAAAAACCTTAAGCCATGTCCACCGAGGCGGACTACTTTTATTACTGCGGAATGTCGGGGAATCCCAATATTACAGTCGAGGGAATTCCCTTTCTGCTTACATGTATCGTCATGCACAGGACATTTAGCGACATTCATGCATATTCATTGTCCAAACTACCCTTGAAACCGAAGGCCGAGAAGGAATAAAACAGCAAACGTGCAGGCTCGCTCGCCTGATTTTTTTATCCCCACTGGCTTCGGTTCCACAACTTTCATGTCTTCGGGTTTCATTTCTAATTAGCATTCTTCCAACTGTGTTTTCCCGTTTTCAGGGAACATATCTATTTCCTTTGAGTGATTGAGTGATTATTGTTTAACACCGCATCAACAATCGTCTAGCTATTTGCGTGGATTGTTCCCAAGAATTATGGCTCACATTTTACTGTACCGTTATTTTGCAGACCATGTCATTTGAAACAGCCGCCTTCTCCCGGACATATTTCTCCCGGTTCGTTTACAGTCTGACTGTTGCAGTTCTTCTCGTCTCTTGCCTTGATTGACAGGTCCAATGAACATTGTTTTGATCCTACCCTCCGTTTATTTGCTACTGACCGTGTAGGCGTGTCAAGTTATGTGCATAAATTAAACGATCACCTGATACTTGTCACGTATGTATTCATACACCTGGAATGTTTTTCAATCTCGTCATTTTTGTCTGTTTTGATATATACAACTGTTTTTTGTTAAACTATTGTAGATAAAACATGTTTTGCGTTGTCGAATTTAATTATAAGCATTGACTGTATATTTCTTTTCGGTTCATTGAGGCATGAATCGAAAAACCGATGTGCAAACTTTTGTAAGAATCCGCTACAGGGATTCATACAGTTTGAACCGAAAACAATACACAGTCAGTCCTTAATTGCAAACCTATGAGTGGTTCTGTTCAAAATAATTGTACTTGTATACTGTTTTAGTTTTTAACTTCTACTCAACATGTGTTGATGTGTTACATAATTTCGTTACAGTGATACAAGTTACAATAAGCAAGATGTTGCACAGTTGTGCATTATTCACTACAGTGCAATTCTTGTGTACACGATGCCTGCATTCAGCCCGTAAGAAAAGAAATGTAAAAACATCTGTGTGCGCGAGCTGAAAAGCTACATTAGGTTATTACGCATATTGGATTATATAATTTGTGTACGCAAGCAACTCAAAAGGTTTATGGTGATTTACAAATGCAGTTTGCGTAATTTACAAATACGCAGCTTATCTGGAGATCGTGAGAAGTATGAATACATTAACATCTTGTACTGATCACCCCATTCCCCCTTCCCCTCCCATATCCCATGGATTATCGTAGAATATATCACACGAGCACCTCGCATATACAAATATACATGAGCACCTCGCGTACACAAATATAAATGCACGTGCACACGCGTCTTAGTAAAGCACTATGGTAGCCTTGACACATTCCATAAAATCACGTTCTTATCAAATATCATAAAGACATGTTGATCAGTTTGCATACATATTTAACAATGTTGGAGGAAGTGAATAGGATTTAGGTGTGTGCTATTTCACCAATGAAGAGAACAATCTGCAAAATAACGGGACGGTTAAATGTGAGCCATAATTCTTGGGAACAATCGACGCGAATAGCTAGACGATTGTTGGTGCGCCAGGAAAAGTACCAGACGCCACAAACGCTTGCCCGCCAATATCATTGCAAGGAGAGAAAGGACTCCCGCTAACAGTGAGGAGTACTAATTAAACATTCCAGTAATGTTACACGCCAATATATCAGTTTTATTTGTAACTTGCTAATAAAATTTATCGACTTTCTGCACATACAAAACAATTATAGAATAATAAATAGCAATATCCCCCTTTACCAACATTTACAAAGCAACACAGTGCTCAACTTAAAACTCTTCAGTTTGCACATATACAATAATTATACCCGAATACATAACAATTATCTCCCTTTACTGATATATACAAAGAAAAACAATTTTGGATACATCATATATACAAACTTGTATATTTTTGTACATGTCATATATACAAACTTGTATATTTTTGTATATCTCATCATTCCAAACTTGTATATGCTTTGAATATATCATCTTTCCAAAGCATATACAAGCTTGTATATATAGATTATTTTTTGCATCACAAAACCACAAAAACTTCGTGAATAAGTAACACGCTACTGTTAAATACTAAGTACCTGTCCACATCGATTGCATTTTAAGTCTTCCTTGTTATATATCAGGACAATAATAATTCATGATCAGCAGATAGTCCTCTACCTGTGGGGTGATGTTTATTTCCTTAAAAATGATTCAGTAAAATGTGTACAAAATGTTTGAGATGTCAGTCACTTACAAATCAGCAATATCTACTTTTCAAATAACTAACAAAGAAAACATTCAGCAGATATCAATAACAACAAAGACACTCAGAATGGAACAAAACAAGAACATACATAATGAGATTCTGATATATTTCTACAGAACTGAGATGAAATATTTTCTTGCCAATGTCTGTAACAACCGGTTACATGGCGAGAACACAATCTATTTGTGACTAAGACATTTTAAGGAAAACTCGTTTCTTCCATTTAAAATAGGACACACAGTAACGTGTTGTGTGTGCTTTGCTTGCGACCACCGTACCATGTCTGTCTATTGTTCAGGCGATCAGCAGATACAGCTCCACCCTTTCCAAGAACTGTAAGCAAAAGTAAACTACAACTAGGTCACGTTAGGTCATTAATTTGAGTGGATTAAGCTAAACTTTTCATATTCACAGGGAGCAACACAGTATATGGTTACCGCAGATAAACTTTAACCACTTGCAGAAATCTGCTACGTGTGTAGTGCAGGGTATATATATTATCGTATTATGAACGGACACACACAAAGTTAATAATCTGACTAATTACAAAACCAAGAGATGAATATCCAACCCCGTTGACATGAGACTAATACTTAAAGTTATGTCACTTTACCACCGTCCCATGCAGTTCGTGACGGCACACACGTTGTGGAACCTTATATGATTTCATTTACATATCATGTAAGATAGAACCTGTATAAAAACTGTGCCATTGCTTACACGATGTTCAAACGTCTACTACCACTTCAAACTTAAAATGTCTCAGTTAACGTTAACGGTAATGTTAATACAACCCGTGCTCGCAATCTACCCAGCTGACACTTGCAGGGTGACATGTAACCCGAAACCTTGTTCTAGGATGGGAGTAGCAATGTGGGAGAAATATATCCCCGGGGGCGTTCCGGTATTGACACTCGCGTGTCAACTCTAACTTGGCACAGGTTGTTTACATAACATTATATGTATTGGAAATTGGAAATGCAGACATCAAACTGGCGAACTATTCTCGATCATAAAACTCACAACAGGGATGAAAATTACACGATTGGATCAGTGCTCAGCAGCGATCTGCTCGTAACTGCAATACTTGGTTCAACATAACCTAGGCTCGACTCAAACTGCAACATCCCCTGGGTCTAACATTTAACATTGATTTATTTTCTGAGAGAACTTTTTGAACTTGAAATCGAGGAGAAAAACAGGAACTTCAAGAGTACATCTCTGAGAATTGTTTTCAATTTCCATTAACCTCTCTGTTCCTAGCAGTAAAGGGGAAGATTCAGAACGAAATATGCATTGTATGAATGTAATGCTGTCATCAGGATAGGAATAATCGGTGTATTGATATATGTTATTTTACGTTTTTCCTTGTATCACATCGCTCATCTACTATATTTAAGGTATACTAGGAAACGCTTCATTGAAACAGTGTTAACCAGTGTGCAGTATCAATAAAACCAGACACACTAAACAGACAAGAAGTAGGACAACGTGAATTGAGTTCTATACTAAGAACATCCCTCGATTTCATCTCCAAACATGAACATTTATTGAACTGGACCATCCCAATGTACCATTACGAGGCGGATAAGGTGTGTTTGTAATATAGATTTTTTTACTTCTTTAAAAAAATATACCACCTCGCAGAAAATGGGCTGATGTTTATCTGCTAGTTTGGACTTATTGGGAACCAACTGGTGGCACAACTTAAAACTCTTCTTCTTCTAGTGTGTTCATCCAGTGATACTGTGTGCAGTGTCCATTGTCGCCATGTGTGGTGATCTTGAGAATCTGAATGAATGCTTGTCCGATGTCAATTTGTATTTTTGTATGTAAAATTACAAAACAACCCATTAGAATACAGTTCGTATCTTTAGTGTACAATCATGTCAGGACTTGTCTTGACACAACCTGACTAATCATGACGAGAATGTAAGGTATATATATAACAGCTACAGTCTGGGTTGGTGATCATACGCCAGGTCTGCACACCTACTGAACAAGAAGTACTACCATGGCTTCACAAAACCCAAAAGAAAAGACCAGGTAAACGTCGATTGCCATAATAGTACATATGTTACATAAGAGTGGTGTTTATACCATTGGTGTTTGAGGTACATTTTTGTATAAAAGGTCATTTATTGCTCTTCTGACTACAGCGGTATCACGAGATGTCCTTAAATTAGACATTTTGTGAACTTTCATAAAAGTTCAGCAATTCACATTCAGGGAATTCCAAAGTTCCATGGCAATCTGCAATAATGATAAATGTAACAATGATGATTGAATTGGTAATTGCAACTGTACAGTTAACGTTGATGCAGTATTGCCAGGATGTTTGAACAAGTTGAGTTGTTACGGAAAGTATGTTGCCAATTTATTGCATTGATAGCTACTTGATAGTAGCAATGATACGCCGCCACTGAAATTGAAAATGGCGGATCGTGTACAGTGCTCTCATTGTAGACCTATGTTTATTTGATGGGACAAAACTACATTTGACACCGAAATCGCACAGTATGTTCATCTCAATTCTACCTTGACCATGAAGTGTTCCTAGAATCGCCTACAGAGGTGGCAATAATGGTGTATATTGGTGCATATTACGGACAAGCATTATCAGAATAGCAGGAGAATCTGGTCTGTCAGAGCAAGGCTGATAACAGACATCAGCCAGACCAGGAACTGCACTAGAGAGACACTTTTATATGATAGCACTTGTTGCATGTACAGTGTGAGCAAAGCCACCCTTTCGTTAATATGTGTCCATATCTATACACATTGAATGATGAACACGCTAATCATTGGTGACTATAAGTCAAATAACATTAATGACCTTAAACTATACTAAAATATATATTAAACCATAACAAGTGTGAATATGAAGTAACAATATATATGTTGGTAGGGTGTATTGGACATATCATTAGTGACGTGCATGTAATCTTGGCAACAGGATGTTTAGTACACAAATGGCTTCAACGCTCGCCTCAAACGTCACTGCATTGACACAACTGAACACATCTGCCCATGTATTGCATTGACAGCTACTTGGTAGTCCGCTACTGTATGCAGTTATGAAACTGAAATAAGTGACGTGTGAGCGTCTGTCCGCCCAGGCAGGTTTGATCATTCATCATGCACAACTGATTCGTTTAAAGTATTGTTTTCATATTTGAGACCCATGTTGCCTGTTGATGTGGTGGGACTAAATTAAATTTGACACCGAAATCTCAGACAATGTCAGTACAAGTTGTTAGTACTTCCAACTTTAAATGTCTAAGCTTAACTGGTGATACAGTGACGTTTCCATAACCATTACTTAATAATTAGTCCTACCGCCACAAACTTGACTAAGTCCTGATGTGTTCCGAGAATTGCCTCCTTATATGGAACAAAAAAATCCAACGTAATAGAAACTACAAGCCAAGCTCGCAAACTGATATGTCACCTCGTTCTACAGTGGAAATAGCTGACCTTCCAAGTATCAGTGTAACCTGCACTCATAGTGCCAGTGTAACCTGCACTCACAGTACCAGTGTAACATGCTCTCATAGTGCCAGTGTAACCAGCACTCACAGAGCCAGTGTAACCTGCACTCATAGTGCCAGTGTAACCAGCACTCATAGTGCCAATGTAACCTGCACTCATGGTGCCAGTGTAAACTGCACTCATAGTGCCAGTGTAACCTGCACTCATAGTGCCAGTGTAACCTGCACTCATAGTGCCAGTGTAACCAGCACTCACAGAGCCAGTGTAACCTGCACTCATAGTGCCAGTGTAAACTGCATTCATAGTGCCAGTGTAACCTGCACTCATAGTGCCAGTGTAACCTGCACTCATAGTGCCAGTGTAACCTGCACTCACAGAGCCAGTGTAAACTGCACTCATAGTGCCAGTGTAACCTGCACTCATAGTGCCAGTGTAAACTGCACTCATAGTGCCAGCGTAACCCGCACTCATAGTGCCAGTGTAACTAGCACTCACAGAGCCAGTGTAACCTGCACTCATAGTGCCAGTGTAACCAGCACTCACAGAGCCAGTGTAACATGCTCTCATAGTGTCAGTGTAACCAGCACTCACAGAGCCAGTGTAACCTTCACTCATAGAGTAAGTGTAACCTGCACTCATAGTGCCAGTGTAACCTGCACTCACAGTACGAGTGTAACATGCTCTCATAGTGCCAGTGTAACCAGCACTCAAAGAGCCAGTGTAACCTGCACTCATAGTGCCAGTGTAACCAGCAATCATAGTGCCAATGTAACCTCAACTCATGGTGCCAGTGTAAACTCCACTCATAGTGCCAGTGTAACCTGCACTCATAGTGCCAGTGTAACCTGCACTCATAGTGCCAGTGTAACCAGCACTCACAGAGCAAGTGTAACCTGCACTCATAGTGCCAGTGTAAACTGCACTCATAGTGCCAGTGTAACCTGCACTCATAGTGCCAGTGTAACCTGCACTCATAGTGCCAGTGTAACTAGCACTCACAGAGCAAGTGTAACCTGCACTCATAGAGCCAGTGTAAACTGCACTCATAGTGCCAGTGTAACCTGCACTCATAATGCAAGTGTAAACTGCACTCATAGTGCCAGTGTAACCTGCACTCATAGTGCCAGTGTAACCTGCACTCATAGTGCCAGTGTAACCTGCTCTCACAGAGCCAGTGTAAACTGCACTCATAGTGCCAGCGTAACCTGCAATCATAGTGCCAGTGTAACCTGCACTCATAGTGCCAGTGTAACCAGCACTAACAGAGCCAGTGTAAACTGCACTCATAAAGCCAGTGTAACCTGCACTCATAGTGCCAGTGTAACCAGCACTCACAGAGCCAGGGTAACATGCTCTCATAGTGCCAGCGTAACCTGCTCTCATAGTGCCAGTGTAACCTGCACTCATAGTGCCAGTGTAACCAGCACTCACAGAGCCAGTGTAAACTGCACTCATAGTGCCAGCGTAACCCGCACTCATAGTGCCAGTGTAACCAGCACTCACAGAGTCAGTGTAACCTGCACTCATAGTGCCAGTGTAACCAGCACTCACAGAGCCAGTGTAACATGCTCTCATAGTGTCAGCGTATCCAGCACTCACAGTACCAGTGTAACCTGCACTCATAGAGCCAGTGTAACCTGCACTCATAGTGCCAGTGTAACCTGCACTCACAGTACCAGTGTAAAATGCTCTCATAGTGTCAGTGTAACCAGCACTCACAGAGCCAGTGTAACCTGCACTCATAGAGTCAGTGTAACCTGAACTCATAGTGCCAGTGTAACCAGCACTCACAGTACCAGTGTAACATGCTCTCATAGTGCCAGTGTAACCAGCACTCACAGAGCCAGTGTAACCAGCACTCATAGTGCCAGTGTAACCAGCAATCATAGTGCCAATGTAACCTCAACTCAAGGTGCCAGTGTAAACTGCACTCATAGTGCCAGTGTAAACTGCACTCATAGTGCCAGTGTAACCTGCACTCATAGTGCCAGTGTAACCTGCACTCATAGTGCCAGTGTAACCAGCACTCACAGAGCAAGTGTAACCTGCACTCATAGTGCCAGTGTAACCAGCACTCACAGAGCCAGTGTAAACTGCACTCATAGTGCCAGTGTAACCAGCACTCACAGAGCCAGTGTAACATGCTCTCATAGTGCCAGTGTAACCAGCACTCACAGAGCCAGTGTAACCTGCACTCATAGAGCCAGTGTAACCTGCACTCATAGTGCCAGTGTAACCAGCACTCACAGAGCCAGTGTAACCTGCACTCATAGTGCCAGTGTAACCTGCACTCATAGTGCCAGTGTAACCAGCACTCAGAGAGTCAGTGTAACCTGCACTCATAGTGCCAGTGTAACCAGCACTCACAGAGCCAGTGTAACATGCTCTCATAGTGCCAGTGTAACCAGCACTCACAGAGCCAGTGTAACCTGCACTCATAGTGCCAGTGTAACCTGCACTCATAGTGCCAGCGTAACCTGCACTCATAGTGCCAGTGTAACCTGCACTCACAGAGCCAGTGTAAACTGCACTCATAGTGCCAGCGTAACCTGCACTCATAGTGCCAGTGTAACCTGCACTCATAGTGCCAGTGTAACCTGCACTCACAGTACCATTGTAACATGCTCTCATACTGCCAGTGTAACCAGCACTCACAGAGCCAGTGTAACCTGCACTCAGAGTGCCAGTGTAAACTGCACTCATAGTGCCAGTGTAACCTGCACTCATAGTGCCAGTGTAACCTGCACTCATAGTGCCAGTGTAACCTGCACTAACAGAGCCAGTATAACCTGCACTCATAGTGCCAGCGTAACCTGCTCTCATAGTGCCAGTGTAACCTGCACTCATAGTGCCAGTGTAACCAGCACTCACAGAGCCAGTGTAAACTGCACTCATAGTGCCAGCGTAACCTGCACTCATAGTGCCAGTGTAACCTGCACTCAGAGAGTCAGTGTAACCTGCACTCATAGTGCCAGTGTAACCTGCACTCATAGTGCCAGTGTAACCAGCACTCACATAGCCAGTGTCAACTGCACTCATACTGCCAGCGTAACCTGCACTCATAGTGCCAGTGTAACCTGCACTCATAGAGTAAGTGTAACCTGCACTCATAGTGCCAGTGTAACCTGCACTCACAGTACGAGTGTAACATGCTCTCATAGTGCCAGTGTAACCAGCACTCAAAGAGCCAGTGTAACCTGCACTCATAGTGCCAGTGTAACCAGCAATCATAGTGCCAGTGTAACCAGCACTCATAGAGCCAGTGTAAACTGCACTCATAATGCCAGCGTAACCTGCACTCATAGTGCCAGTGTAACCTGCACTCAGAGAGTCAGTGTAACCTGCACTCATAGTGCCAGTGTAACCAGCACTCACAGAGCCAGTGTTACATGCTCTCATAGTGTCAGTGTAACCAGCACTCACAGAGCCAGTGTAACGTGCACTCATAGAGCCAGTGTAACCTGCACTCATAGTGCCAGTGTAACCTGAACTCACAGTACCAGTGTAACATGCTCTCATAGTGCCAGTGTAACCAGCACTCACATAGCCAGTGT